GTGTAGAAATATTCTATTCTAATATATTTTAATGGTGAGGGTAAATGTATTGAAGGGAAAAGTGTATTATTCCTCCCCCCTTTTCTTATTGCATTATATATCCAATTCTTGAAGGCATGCTACCGACTTGGGGTCGGATACTATAATAGACGTTACAACATCGTGGCCCCACAAAGTAAGGTGATTCGATAAAATAACTATGCCCAAGATTACCATCAAAGTGCCGTCGGGATGATAGGCAAATAGTCTCGGCTGCAATCATCTTTTGTACGATCACTAATGGTCGAGTGGTTAAGGTCTCCCGTACACCAGTTGCATAGTGCTCCTGGTAGTATGGGTTCGAGTTACTTCTGGGGGGTAGAGTTTTCTGTTTATATATATATATATATATATATATATATATATATATATATATATATATATATATATATATATATATATGAGAGAAATGAAGAAGTTATTCTGAGACAATTGGGTGACTTGAACCAACGTTCTACTGATCCCAGACACCTGCCTTACCTCCCATTGAACTCAGTAGAGTTACAGGTTCATGTGTGTATATATATATATATATATATATATATATATATATATATATATATATATATATATATATATATATATATATATACAAACATACATACATGAACACGTATATTCGCTGCTTGTACACAGACGAACAAACCTTCATATGTTTCACAATTCAGAACAATAAAACTATCAAAAAAATAAAAATTCCAGTTTCATTTTACCATTAACAACTTTATGGAGGTCACAGTCACCAAAATAATGGTAAACAACTCCAGAAAGTAATTAAGCGTGTCTAGAGAACAACAAGACAAATACACAAACACACAAATAATCACAATAATTCCACCGGGATCAAAGATAATAATTGGTATTACGAACCACAGCCAACTCTTTGATGTGAAATTTCTAAGAAAAGCAGTTCAAAGTAATGGAATTCATGGGTTGGAATAACATAAGGTTGGACGAGCCTCGTTAAGGGCCCAGAGTTCAGACCTTCAGGGAACTTCAAGAGCATCCGCTGAAGATAGTTTACTGTACAATTAACAGTTAACTGCGCTTCGCTCTAATTGATGAGGAGATGAGTTGAGGGGGGGGGAGGGGGAGGATGGGGAGGGGGGGGGGGGGGGGGGAGTGAGACCAGTTGACTCAGGGGGGTTCAGGTTGAATAGCAATTTGAAGTGATTGAAGTTAGGTATTTTAAAGTTATAGCTTAGAGTTTCGAGAATAAGGTCGGTTTGTTCATTCTTAACTTAGATTTCTAAGTTTAAGTTTGTCAAGCTATAGTTTAGACTTGTAATTCCTGCAGCATGAGGCATTTAAGGCAGTAACAACCATTTAAGGCTTATGAGAGTTACAACCATTTAAGGCTTAGGGTGGCAGGGGAGGGAGGGAAGGGGCAGGGGAGGGTAGGGAGGGCAGGGGAGAGCAGGGAAGGGCAGGGGGGGGGGGAGGGATAAGGGTGTCAGCGTACTGTAGCAACACTGCCGACAGGACGCACCGGTAATTGTCTTCCTCTTGCTCAGTGGTGTGGCCGGGGGTGGTGTGTGGCCGGGGGTGGTGTGTGGCCGGGAGTGGTGTGTGGCCGGGGGGGTGGTGTGTGGCCGGGGGTGGTGTGTGGCCGGGGGTGTGGTGTGTGGCCGGGGGGGTGGTGTGTGGCCGGGGGTGGTGTGTGGCCGGGGGTGGTGTGTGGCCGGGGGTGGTGTGTGGCCGGGGGTGGTG